TTGTGGAATCTACTGGACCTGCATCAAATGCTTCCAGGTCTCTTACCAGAGGGCAGCAGGGAGAACAGTCTATGATTCAGGTGTGTGGGCTCATTTATGATGTTACGAGCTTGGGAAGCACAGTGCTAGGAAAAAATGTCTTTAATGAAGGGAAGAGGAGCTCCAATGATCTTCCCTGCTGTTCTCACTACTCCTCTCACCTTCTTCCAGTCTGAGGCGCTGCAGCCTCCACACCACACAGTGAGACAGCTGGTCAGAACGCTCTCTATGGTGCTTCTTTAGAAGGTGGTGAGGATGGATGGGGGCAGGTGGGCTCTCCTCATCCTCTGCAGGAAGAACATGCACTTTTGTGCCCTTATGAGTAGTGAGGTGGTGTTTAAAGTCCAGGTGGGGTTCTCTTGGATGTGCACCCCCAGAAATGTGGTGCTGTTGACCACTTTTACAGCTGAGCAGTTGATAAGCAGTATAAATATAAGCAGTATAAGTTAAAAGTTCATTCTAAAGGTATTGCTTCAGGTAAACACCACAAGCACATGACATTATTCTTCTTTCTGTTCCATCTCGTTTAACATACAAGAATTTTTATTATGTTCTTGTTTTTCTTATGTTGTTTATGCTTTTATGTTTATTTTTTTACAATTAAAACTACCTTTTTGTTAAGAAAAGGTTTAGGAATGCATGTTTTTACCTATAAAAATATCTTTACAGCAGATATTTGAAATTACACAGTAGCTGTCATGTTTGGTTTAAGGTTCCTAACCTACATGCAGAACACACGGAAACAGGAGAAAAAGTTCAAAGGTTTATTGAACAACACAGTTGAATAAAGAACTTATCCAAGGGATTATCAGATCCAGGACTGGTCACGACTGGGTTCACTGCAGAGGGTGACAGAGTGGTTAGCTGAAGTCCAGGTAATTTGCAGGATGTGAGAGTGCAGGTCTGTACCTGTTCTGGAGTTTGAGCCGAGCGGCAGAGAGGGGGAACCAGGAGGGTCCAGAGGCTGTCGGCAGGCTGAGGGCTTGGTGGAGGCAGAGCTTGGTTTGAGTGTATGCAGATCACAGATTTGAGTTTCTCTTTCAGGTTCTTCAGAGAGCGGGCAGGCAGGTCTTTGACAGGTTTGATTCTCCAGGGTTCTTCAGAGATCAGACTGACAGATTTCCAACAGAGAAACTCTTCAAGGTTTCAGGTTTCAGGCAGGTTCAACCATAACTGGCAAAACACTCTGGCGCCGGAGTGATGTCCTCTGCCTCCTTAAATACTGGTCTCCTGATGAGCAAACAAGCTGCAGGTGGTGCAGTCAGCTCCAGCTCCAGGAGACCTAGAACGCCCACTGGTGGAGAAAAGTGGACAGACCTCCAGATGCCAACAGCAGCAGCTATTCAAAATGGCCCTTCCCAGTCAAACGGCAGCCGAATGGCAGCCAACTTCCCTATAACTCCCGGCAGAATCCCCTCCAACTTCAAGCCACTGGAGTGACACCCTACTTCTCCTGGGTGTGCAGATTTTTTTACTCTGACTCCACCCTTTCACTTAATTACAGGGTCTGACCAGGAGATGACGCTTCTCTATAGATCCTAATTTCCTCAAATCAGGACAGAAAGGATATTTTAGTACAACTATTGATGTTTAAAAAGGAATTACAGGCGACCAGCCAAAGACCCATCAAGGAAAGTGGGGACATTTTGTATGTCTGCTACTGTATTTTTTTGGCGTTTTTTTTTCACCTACCTTCTCTTATTTACATCTCTAAATGCTAGTGTGAGCTCCAGGGAAACCAATTTATGCAGGTATATACCAGCTGTAGCTGTTAAAATAACCACTCTAACCTAATTTTGGTTTATCTGTCACAGTCTATTAATTACAGCGAGCTGCTCTGCGGACAGTGAACACTAAAGAGATTTTCTCACCACCAGACTTTTAAGTTGCTACAGTCCTCATCTCATTTTAACGAATCAATACAAATTGGCCTTAGATGTCCATCTGAGTAGTCAGCTGCTGCTGACTTTGCAAACCACACAGGTCTCGTATTTGCTTGTCATATAAGAAGTGGTCTAGTTGAGATTCATAGAGAGACCTGAAGCTGCCCCTCTAAGCCAAAGCAGATCAATGCACTTCCATCTCTCATCTGTCACATGGCACTCAAATCTTATTCTGCCACCCAAATTACTGATGTGCTGAATTATAACTTGGTTGGAGCAGCAGTGTACTGTACCCCAGGCGTTTTTGAAATACCACTAGCAGACCGAGCTGTCATCGTGGATACATCTATCACTGGGAGAGCAGTGTAGAACAGACAGCTAATATCCTGGGGTCCTTTACAACTGCTTTTGTCAAAGTCTACACTGTGACAGGAGGCTTCCCGCAAACATTTCAGAGTCTCTTAGCTATCTTACCTAAACTCTGTTTTGACAATAAAATACTGTCAGCTATGGCTGCTGAAATAAAGGTTTGTTTCTACTGGCCTTATCACTATTGTTCTGTCATAACAAGCCAGCTCAATAAAGATTTCTTTGACTTTATATGGTAAGATATTATATAATACACAGAAGTAGTGGAGGCAGATGCTGGTGTCAGATATTGTGGAAAACATATCTTTAAAAAGTTACTTATCTTTTGGAAACCACAAGTTAGAGGGTTTGTTTTATCCATCTTTTCTAGTTTAAAAAAAGAAGATTAAAATAGCACAACTGGGATTTCAAACAAATAAACTTTTGTCATTGTTTAGGTCAGGGGTCAGCAGGCTTCATAAACCAAACAATCCATATCCATATTTGCTACAAAATAAAATAATCCCATTTTATGAGCTATTCCTATAAAAAATTTATCTTAAATAATAAAATATAGCTTAACTCTCCTTTCACTGAGTTTTAGAACAAAAAACACTGGATTAAAGCTACAGTGTGTAATAATTACAGGGATATACAGTCAGAAATGTAATATATTATACATAACTATGTTATTTATCATCATCTACGAGCTCAGCCTCTTAACCTTAATATTTGCGTTGCCTTAGAATTCGTTATTTATAATTACATAGGAGCGGGTCTCGCAGCCATGGAGGCAGACATCTTTGCGTTACGGCAGCGCAGAGCCAACAAACTAGCGATTGCGAGATCGCCAAAACGTCACAACGATGTGGAAAAAATAACGGGTCTTAATGTCTTAAGTCTACATGAAATCTATACCCTACACAGACTAATGAAATACTATCTGTAAAATTATCTATGTAAACAAACCTCATCACTTGAGAAGGTAGGTGATGCGGACGTCGTGGAAGACATTTTGTCCCGTAACGCTCCCCGTACTGTTGGGGGGGAGAAGCGGTGGGGGGAGATGTTCATGTTGCTGCAGTCTGCAGTCTGACCGCTAGATGTCGCTAAAAGTTACACACTGTAGCTTTAAGGAAAACTTAATAATTTCTAGATTTATTTAGGACAATTCCTATATTAATCACAAATGATTTAACTGAGTAAAAAGTGTTGTAATGATAATAGAAGTATTTCGAAAATTATTATTTGTACCATTATTGACTTTTGTAGATATTTATTATGGATTTTACATTACACTCTATTCTGACATGGCAGGTCTACTACATTGTTTATACGTCACATGAGTGAACATTTTACAGAATTATAAATTAAAAGGGATTGCATTCAGAACAAAGCTGGAGCATGACATATGAATACCAAAGGGCATTTGACCTTAGTATTTGCTCTACAGCACTTTATTACAAGACCATTACATTTTTTATAGCAGCAGGCTCAGGGTATTAAAAAGCCAGACACAAAACAAACAATACAGGCGGGCTCTGCCACAAATTGTAGTTTCTTGTGTTCAAGGGCCATTTCTTTTTGACATGAAAATATACCCCATAGTAAGCCAAAAAAAAAATAATTCATTTTGCTCTGTTCAGTCAAATGTATTCGTTCTGACACAGCTGAGAAAAACTTTTTTTCTATTTAAGTCAAGAATTGTTCAGTTTAAAGCTGAGTATTATTCCTTTGTCAGAGCAAATACAAGTTTAGAGTGGCCTAACCAGACCTTAAAACTTAACTCAAATAATGTTTGTAAATACAAGAAACCCTTTCAACCTTCAAAAGATTCTCACAGTACCTGTAAAAATATGAAAAAGAAAACATTTCCGAATGTGTAAGAGTGGTGTGGATACTTAATACCTGCACCACAATTCTTCAGAGGGCTATAGATAACTTTGACAGACCAATTGTTTGCATAGTTTCCTCAAAATGGTTCATAATTGTCAAATAGATACTGGTCTGGTGCAGAATCAGAAAAACAACTTATTGGTTAAAAGAAAACAGTCTGAAACAAATGATCTTTTCTAAATATAACTATTAAACACCAGTGAGAATTGATACAGGATCTCATTCTGTCATGAAAGTATTTGTGTCTGGGTTCTACAATCCTATAGTCATTGGCATAAATGCTGCAGTTTCACACTAATGGTCATCTAAGTGATTATGAGCTTCTGGCAGAATTACACACAGTAGAGCTCTGTATGGTGTGGCTTTCCATGCATATGCATGTATAAAACAGAATTTACCGAAAGGGATCAATATATTATATACAGCACAAAGATGAACAGGGGGGATGATAATTCTTAATTTTCCGTGAAGCTGAATTGAACTGAATGATCATCTGAGTGAATATAAATTTCCCCCATTAAGAGTAATGAGACTTGGCTTGCTGTGTGTCCTCTGATCCGTGGTCCTTCAGTGGAAATATTTCACCAGTGGACAGCTGTTTATCCTCTCTGCTTCACCGGTAATGAGATGAACACTTGGAATGTATTAAGCTTGGCTACATATTCACCACATCAGCACAGTCATTCAGATATGTGATTTAAAAAGTTCCTGTTTTCCATCCTTTTTTTTTTTTACTGTTCACTTTCAACCTCCTCTTTTAATTTGTATTTTGCCCTTTAATGCATTCTCTTTGTCTGACACCAATTATTTTGCTCTTGGCTTTTACACAAACAGAAGTTGTCCAACTAAGCCTGGCGGAGGATCAGCGAATCACCACCTCGACTGTAACAGTGGGCCTCAGTGCTGTTCTCACCTGTGCCATCCAGGGGACGCTGCGTCCACCCATCATCTGGAAAAGGAATGGAATCATTCTAAACTTCCTCGATCTGGAGGATATTAATGTGAGTACGCACAGTTACTGGCTATTTTTTGTTGCTTGTATTAATGAATGATGCTTGACGAAATGGTGACATTTAGCTATAAATGTTGTAGGTTCCTTATTTCAGTCATACAATTAATTTTGCAGGTAAAATCATTTTAATTTCTGCATTTGGCTTACAGCTGCAACAAAGGAATCATACTAAATGAACAATCAATAGGAAGCATCCTACTTTCTCTTTGTAACTTGTTCCTTACTGCCAGCACTATTTGGATAACACATTATGGCGCCTGCTAATGCACTCCTGCTTTGACTGAAAGCTACTTACCAATTTGCACAATTCAGATGTAATCAATTGAATCAGGTATAACAGAACCCACATAAATCTGCAAATCTTTATGCTAATGTCGCATTTTTTGCTGGAATATGAATTTATTTATGTTGTGGTATATTATACTAACAATAAAATGCAACCACAACATTGAAGATTGAGGTCATGATGTGAGGAAATGGGGAAAGGTTCCCACGGTGTTTACTTTTGCAAGGTACTGTATGAATGGGCATACATCTTATGTGAAGTGACTAATATAAATACAGTGAAAAGTAGGTAATGCGGAAATGAGCATAACGACGGACAAATTATATGACCATATTTATATTTACAAATATTTAAATTTAATCTGAAAAATTTTCATCATCACTTTTCAGCTAAATAAAAATAAATACTGAAAGAAGAAAAAAATTAACAAATTCAAGCACAACATTAGAAAGTAAACTACACTGTATAGCAGCTTTAGTACCAAAGTGTGCCACTGAATAATTTCACATAATTACCTCCACATAGAAATTCACTAAGCGTTTCAATAAAAGCTATTACTTAATCTGAGTGGGCTGCCTAATTAATATCTGGTTGATTTTAGCAGCAAGGGGCACACTAGGTGGTCTCTTCACATTTATGTTTTAAAAAAAAGCCAATTACAACACTTCTTAACCAACTCAAAATTAGAAAATTGCAATGCTGCTGAGAGCTGTAAAAAGCCTAAGAATTATTCATTTGATTCATACTCAGTTTTTTTTACTTAAGTTTCTACTATTTATGTTCAGCCACATAAAAACAGGGTGGGAGGGAGATATCTTTTCTTTTCAGCCCAAACGCAGCTGCTGCAGAAGGTTAAAGAATAATTACTAGAAAAGAACCAATAAGTAGAAATAAGAGAACAATTATTGTCAAACATCCTCCATAAAGCAATAAGATTAACGTAAGCTCTGTGCCTAATGAACTATGAAACCATGCTTCTATGTGGTTGAAAGCAGTTTTTCCTTTTTAACTGCGGGTTCACAATGCACTGATTGCATGCTAATGAGTGGCATGTTGGTCTGCTGGGATGATGGGCAGATAAACAGTTTCACAATTTTAGGGTCATGACAAAATGAAAAATGAAGTCAGCTTAGGTTCCTCAAGCTCTTGACCGTGCATAATTGATTTTCACTGGGATTTGTGATCTGAGCAAAAGAGGGAGAGGAGAGCCTGCTGTTTCTTTTCATTCTGGCAAATCAAAGAAAACAGTGGAAAACAAAAGTAATTCAATTTATTGCTTTGTTGCATGTAGGTAATCGGTGTATCCATGGGAGGTAATTAAACCCAGGAAACTCTTTTCAAATACGAAACACAGCTGTTGTTGCGTGCTGGTAATTTGTTAAGGCTGAGGAGCAGTTTATAGCAGAGAAACACAAGTAACTAAAGAAATCAAAAGAATATTATGCAACCCATTAATAAGACATCCAGATGAATTAGACTCCCAAAGGCCGAACACAACATCCGATCGATCTTTAGCTTGTGTTTCATATTGATTGGGGAGTATTTCATTTATCTCATTTGCACCGAGAGCGTGTCAAGTTAGTCGCTCTGAGGATTAATTCCTTAAAGACTGACAGAAGTCATTTACAGTAGGTACATTTTCTATTAGGTTACTATATACTACTATAAATTGTCATATGTCTTTCTTATTTATTTGTAAGTAGATACTGTTGATTAATACAGTTTTGAATGTGATATATTTAACATTAGTTCATATGTTCCAGTTCATTGATCAGCAGATCAATGCCATATTTTCAGATGGATGACCTAATAATTCTATGCCTTAACCCTTTGGCTTTGAACTGGAAACCTTCAGCCTATGACAACAAATCACTTCTGGCTTTTCTGACTGACTCTTTCATTGTCAGGTGTCCAAAATGTTCACCTTCTCCCTCATTGTGTTTAGCATACAGAAAACCAAGTTGTAGGTAGAAGTATCAAGGATTTTCTGCACACTAAACAATAGGCCTACTTATTAATAACAGTAGTGTACTTTATATATTATTTTCAGGGTGCTGGTGGTTAAGAACGACTCTAGTCCACCCACTTTGGTTGCATTTGCAACGTGGTGTTCCAAAGATCTAACAAGTGAAAGCAGGCTTAGGTCGTACCAGTGCAACCAGCCTTTCTTTAAAAAAAATCGTAGTTTTCCTGTATTAATGTGCACCATAAAGCCACAGGGAGATACATTGGTCCTTGCAGATGTTGGATAACAGGAACTTCCACCTGCACTGACTGTTTCTGTGTACAAATCTGAGCTGAACTCTGGCGTCAAAAACTAAGAAAAAAATGTATTTACCTGTAAAACAGGGGTTTGGACAAAGGAGAAAGTGTACTGTAGTTGTGAGCATGTTGCAGTTAAACCCAATGTGGTTGTGTTTTGTAATTTTTTTCTTTATTTTAGTTCACTAAAGTTCTGTCTCCAGTGACATTAATGTCATCAGCAGGACAAGAACTGAAACACCTGTGAATAGAGATGAGCTTTAGATTAAGCTTTTACTTCATAGATACGTGTTTTATACAGTTCTTTAATTATTTTTTTGTATTGTACATTTATTAAAAACCACAGTACAGCCATGATATTTTGGTCATCTAATATTCTTATTTCTTATGGAGATAATGCAGTGGAAACCTTCGGGGAAAGGAAAAGGATTAGATAAATCAAACCTTGATAATTTTTTTTTTAATTAAACATATTTTTTACTGTTTTATTCTCTTGGGGCTACGGTTTTACACTGATGGTTAATATAGTAGGAATATTTAATTTGGCTACTTTTATTTGTTTGTTTTTATGAATTCTTTTGAATATTTTAATCTTAGATCTGCACATTTTTGCTTATTTTTTAATAAGTGGAAAAAAACCAACAAATTATTGTTGTTAATTTGTATTTTAATCAGTAGATACAAATTATTATAAATACTACATAGAATATCCTATTTCATTTACTTCATGGCATTGACTAAATTTACTTTTGCCTTCATTTTACAAGAAAATAATATACAATAGCAGCCATTCAAAATGGCCCTTCCCAGTCAAAGAACAGCCAACTTCCTTCCAACTCCCAGCAAAATCCCCTCCAACTTCCAGCCACTGGAGTGACCCCCTTTTGCATATTTTTTTTACATTGACTCCACTATTTCACTGAATTACAGGGTCTGACCAGGTGATGATGCTTCTCTTTAGATCTTAATGTCCACAAATCACAATAGAAAGAATATTTTCGTACAAATATTGATGTTTAAAAAGGAATTAAAGGGGACCAGCCAAGGGGCCCATCAAGGAAAGTGAGGACATTTTTAATGGCTACTGTAACACTTCTTATGCATTCTGTCAAAAATATTCTTTTTTTGTTTGTTTTTTAGTAAATAAATCTGTCCATTTCTAATTTAAATGTCAAGCGTTCCATCATGCCCTTGTGATCTACAACTACAACTTCAGACAGCAAACTATTTAATGCCTTAATCCACCCTAACTTGTAGATGGAACTCCCCCGCTGATTGCATCACGCTGCACCAACAACACCGGCTCCATTCATCAGCCTAATGGGCTTTATATTTTTAACCCTTGCCATTTATCAGGCTGAGGCACTGTCATGAGGGGAAAGAGCAGGATCAAATCCCCAAATGCCTGCTTCAGCTCAACAGGGAAAGCATTGATTCATGGTTTGTCTTCCTTTTCCCATCACTCTTTTTCTCCCTTGTCTCATCCCATCATTCCCTGCTGTTAGACTCCTCCTCTCACCGTTCTCCACAGGCATCGTTATGTAGTCTATCAACCTGCAACATTTTCCACCGACTCCCTGTGGATGCCTCCTGCACCCAATTCTTCACCACTATCCCCAATCTTGGTCCCCTGCTCTTCTTTTCCTATCTACACCACACCTAACACTTCTCTCCCATCTCTTCCTTGTATTACAGGACTTCGGAGACGATGGCTCCCTGTATATCACTAAGGTGACAACAATACACATGGGAAACTACAGCTGCCATGCTTATGGCTATGAAGACCTCTATCAGACTCATGTGCTGCAGGTGAATGGTCAGTAGTGGCTAATTTCTTTCTTAAAATAGCATGAGAAGTGTTGAAATCTTGCTTTTTGTCATATTTTGAGGAATTTGTGTGACGGAACAACCTCAAAAAATGTGGGGTTGTTAGACAGTTCTGAGGTTAGAGAAGAATTTTGGTAGGAAATGTAAAAAAAACAATGTTAAATTTGAAATGTATTGTTGATCTAAATAAATTAGCCTACCATCCACAAAAGATTAAATTTCATTGATACATCAAAAAATGAAACTCCTAAATGATACAGATTTGATACACGCAGCAAAATCTATTTTGAATGTTCTACTTCAGTTAATTATGTTGGTTATGGCTTTCAAATGAAAAATAAAACATATAAAAAAAATTGGTTTTTGTAAAAATAATTTTTGCATATGCTTAGGAAGATAAAAATAAATTTTAATACAAAAACCCAACTATTCTGAAAAGTATGAACTGGTACTTTGTAGTATATGCCTACAAAACCAGCCTTTGGTGCTGCTAAGGTGAGATGGAAGCCCAGGTTGCCTTAAAAGTGTAGTGAAGAATTTTTGCAATTTTTTTAGAAAGATCCATCCTCTCCAATTGAAAAAAAAGAAGAAAAAAAATGCACATGCACTACCCTGTACCCTGTTCCCCAGACACAACGCCCATTAAACGCATGCAAGATCATGCATAAGCCCATTTCTCCTTGTGCACGCTCTGTTAAAAAGTTGCTGTTTGCATTGATCATACAAGCTTTCTTTACAAAGTAGATTTGCAAATTTTCCACAATGTCAGACTCACCAGATGAGCACGTAGGACGGCCTTAGGTTAACATATCACCAGAGTGATTGGAGTAGGATGACCATTTATTTTGATGATCCAACCAGAAAAAGAACATCCTGCACCTTTAAGCCCATCACACACTGGTCACCATGGCATCAGTAATATTTTATGTTTTCCTTGTCTTTTTATTGGTACATGATGCATTTAGCACAACTTGTTTTATAATTGACTGCTGAGCCAAAAACAAATTATGATGCTGTACTCTTGAAAACAAGATTAGTCCCTATTCTCTATTAAATACAGCAACATCTTCAGGGACTAAGGTTTCGCAAAGGTTTGCTGTAAAACTAAGATAGGTGTATTTCTTCTAACTTATTAATTTAATCATCCAGTGTTGTCCTGTTTACATCTTGAAACAGAAAAACATTACTTTCAGTCAGGAAGGTGGGAGCAGAGATGATAATTAAGTCTATGACTGAAACTCTAGGCACTTGAGACCTTAAATAATCAAAACTCATTAAGCTTTTCAGGCAACTAAATAAACTAAAGCAGCATTAATACAAAATAAAATATAGCAGATTTTTATGTAGGCTCAAACTAAAATGAAAAAGGCGGCGCTGCTGAAGGAGTCATTTAGACAAAAAAGATGTCTGGGGAGGGTGTTATCAGCATAGGGCAATTACCAAATGTTTGCTTTGGGTATTCAGGGTATTTCAAAAAGATAGGAGGAGGTGAGATAAGGTGGAATGGAGTGGAGCCAAGTGCCACATTATACTAAGTGGGCGGTTTGCATCCCGCTTCGCTATTAAAGCAATCTGTTCGCTGAGGAGAATGACAATGCTGCAGCTTTAGCTTTCCCTAAGTACACAAAACTGCAGTGTAGAACTCTTGTCTATATTATTTTAGCACTTTCAAGTGTGATGCCACTGCTGTTAAAAATGTGTCTGTGGCATAAAGTTACACCTAATAAACACTGAGAAAGAGCCGTAAAGTATCGCTTTCATTCAAGTAAACAACAGTTGCTTTGTCAAAACATACAGAGAGAAACGATTGTGGATGTTTGGTGCATTTTAAGAGGAAATGTTTGGTTTATACTCTTAGGTTTGTTTTGGGCTTTTTTTTTGTATTGTGTCATTACCCTGGCAGAAGAACAAGAAACACAAACTACTATAGTGGAAATTAAAACAGCTTAAAATAACTACTAAAAACCTTCAAAAATACTCACAAACTCTCAATTTTACCTAGCACATTTAGTTACAACTAACCAAATAATAGGTTTAGTTTGCTGGAAATTATTGTTACAGACCAAAACAAAAAAGAGCTTAATTGTAAAATATCAAAGACATATGCTTCAGTGCTTTGTAGAACAACTCTTAACTGCAGTTCCAACTTCAACTTTTTAAGTGTCTCTCCCTGCTTTGCACATTTAGAGCGGTATCTTTAAAGATAAAAAAAAGAGTCACTATATAAAAACCCCATGGTAATTGCAATGAGTGGACATGTTGCAAATGTTATGCAAAGATTGCTAAGATACCAAATCAATTTAGTTCCCCCTATGTAAATGTGCAGATTGTGTGTTCTACTGATATTTTAGCAGTAAAAGATAATGTGACAGTAAAAGTTGAGGTTCAGACATGGAGATGAACGTTGTAAGGATTAAAAAATAAATAAATAAATGATCAAAACAATAAATCACATTTAAAGGACAACTGAAATATGTGCTACAAAAAGAGGTAAAAAAATTCATCATGAAACTAACTTAAGTTGAAAATAAAAAGTATAAAATACCACAAAACATGGTTAAGTTGTTTTTGTCTGCTGACTGACTTTAGAGCAGATTGTGCTCTAAACATCTGGATTAATCTTCACCAGCTCCTCTCAACAGCATCTTGACACAATATACTGAAAAACAAAGCAGAAATGTAATAAAACTCAATTGTGCATTGTTCACATGCCTGAAGCCACCGGTACAGTTTAAGATCAGATCGCTCTCAGCTGTAGACAGACCACTCTGTGGAGGACATAATAGTTCGTTAGCTGCACAACTCAGCAGTTTCTGTTAGGGATTAGGATTGCTCCAGCTGGAATAGTTAAGAGGTGGACATATTTTGAATTTGAATTAGACTGATGTGACTAGCAGGCATGTCCCAAAATCTACAGTAGATCAGGTGGGTTAGTGCAGTGGTGAAAGTAAATACTTAAATAATTCTGTTGTATAACCTCAACTGCTAATAAGCATTTTGACCAAAGTATTTTGTTCTTAAATTTAAATTTGCCACTCAACCATTATCTATCTATCTATCTATCTATCTATCTATCTATCTATCTATCTATCTATCTATCTATCTATCTATCTATCTATCTATCTATCT